ATATAAGCCCATCACACTATAATACCGGTAAATTACACAAAAAAATCCACTACATTGCATTAAATTTCAACTAAGACTATACGTCTACGGTATGTATTTATTTAAACAAAGGTTACTGATGCCTCTTCTGAATCTGATCCTTCAAGTACTGTCAGTGATACACACGGCTAAGACTTTTAACATACTTGGTATCGGCTATGAGGACGTTTTATAAGACAAGGATGGCCCACAAAAACCGCGTTCATATAGAAGCTATAGAAACTATACTATAATCGCGTCTCGTTGATGACAGTCAGTGTTCTATTATTTTTTGTTTAAAATTGCTAAAATTTAACAATAAACAGCGTGTTTTCTTACTATTAACCTAAGATGTGGTCCGTGTCAGGGCCGCCCAGAGGTTGGCGGGGGCCCGGGGCAAATTTTTTTAGGGGCCCCTATCTAAAAAAATTTTCCCGGAAAAATTTTTTTCCGGATAACAACCTGCCCCGCCCCCCCCCCCTTCGCCAAAAAATTTTCGATCAGTGTACCATTTTAGGGGTAAAAATTTTTTTCCGGAGTGCAAAATTTTGCCGGACGAGTACGTTGCAAATGCTTTCGAGGGACTTTATCTCATTTTTTATGCCAAAATTCGGTACTTAGCCCAAGAAAATAGATACTTGTCCTTTGCGCGGAAATATTTAACACACAAAAAAGGCTGGGGCCCTACAAAAAATTTTCAGGGGCCCCCAGCAACTCGGGGCCCGGGGCAATTTGCCCCCTTTGCCCCACTCTAAGGTGACCTGAGTTAAAACCTTATAGGCCCCGTATATAAGCCCATGTATAGCCCATCGAAAAAGGCTTATGAAATTATATAAGCCCAGGGCTTATATTCGGAAGTTTAATTACGGTATCCAGACACGAAAATTCGATAATAGCAAAGGTCAATGCATGTCACAGCTTAAAGGACAGTATTGAGGAAGAAAAATTCGTAAAAGAGGAGACTGAGGAGCAAATAACTGAGTGGGTAAGTGCTATTGAGGAAAAATTAAAAGCTGCCGACGAAAAAGTTTTAGAACTGCGACAAATTCAAGACGAAATTGTGCGAAAAACGCAAGCGATTGAGAAACCCGATGCCGTTAAAAAGGAACTCATGTTTCAGCAAGAAAAACACGAACAAAAATTACGTCAAGAGCACGAGCTATTCGAACAACAACTAAAATTTCAAAAGGCACTAGAAGCAAATCGACAGAGTGAAGCGAAAGCGAGTTCAAGTTCAACGAAGCTAAGCTTTCTATAACAAAATTTGATGGGAAATATGAAAACTGGCTGCCATTTTGGAACAAATTCAAGGCGGAAATTGATAGCACTGATCTTTCTCTGGTGACAAAGTTCGCATATTTGAAAGAACTCGTAGAACCAACAAGAAAATATTTCTTTAAAAAAAGAAATGATGTTTCGTTCCAATATAATTATAGAAATACCAGACGTCTGTAATTAGCGGTTGTGACCAATAGATCACTTGTTTATGTCGAGCAATGAAATTGGTTCATTTTGTGAGGCGGGCGGGTTCTGGTAATTTTTGTACGTATTAGTATAAATTTTCATTACCTGGAGGGGCCGAGCGGTCCAGAAATACAGTAGTAGTATTTAAAATGAAGAAAAAACAAAGAAAACTATATAATAAATATATACCGATGTTGGCGCTTGAATACTTCAAATATAAATCATCGTGCCCATAGAATAAGAAATGAATAGAAGTGCCACTCGAGTCGGAACCTTTGATGTAAATGGCGCCGCGCATGTCGCCTCGCGCATCTCGGCCGCCATCTTCCCAGCAAGTAAAAATGGAGGATTTTATATAGAGTTATTAGGGAGTTAACTGCAAAAAGTGGATTTTCAGCGGCGATTTCCTTCTAAATTATCAAAAAATGAATGATTTGTTTAAAAAGAAGGTATGCGGTCTTATCTAGTCTTATTTACAAAGAATATTTAAAGTTTTGAAGCTGTAATTTAACAATTTAGTGCGGTGTTTTTCGTGACCGAGATACTATTCATAGTTAGATTTGAGTTATTTTTATATTTTTGTTCGTATTGCTACAAAATATATTCTTACATGAAAATTTTGTATTGCTTTACTTAATTTTGAAAGACATCATGTTATGTCATACCGTTTCTGGTTGGTAATTTGCATATTAAATCCAACTTATCCGAGCACAATTTCAAGAAATACAATAATCATATGTATTGTTGGAAATATGCAATTGGCTGGCTGAAAGAGACTTAAAGGTGATCTACAGTCCGTATGTAAACAAAGCCTTTGTTTACATTTTTGTGTCCAAAATATTGAGCTTTATTCGACAACTATTTATATTTTCAAGCTTCTAGAGTATAATAAATAATCAAGAAACAACAATCAGGCTTTTCAAGAACTCAAAACATAGTTAAAACTGTTTGTATCATAAAAAGTGGGCTCATTTGTGCACATGCGCAGATCGGACTGTAGATCACCTTTAAGTTGATCAGTACACTTTGTTTAAGTTTTCAAATTATTTAATATCCATTTTAGTTTAATATTAGTGATTCTCATTACTGTTCTTGCATGCACTTTATACCAGTATATCACTGATATATTTCCTTTTTTTGATATTTTTCAGTTTGAAAGATCACAGATGAAACAACTTCCATGATTTGAACAACTTCTACAAACATTAACTTTAATTGTAATGCAAAATGGGAATATTTTGTAATATGGAAATTTTTTGTCAATGTAGACATATGGTGACAAAATGTTTGTGATGAAAATGTCTTCTATAGTAAATCTAGTTGTTCCACATATCCAAGAAATTGTGCGGTTGTGCACACTTTTTTGCAGTTGTGAAAACTCACAACTGCAAAACCTCTACCTTTAAGCCTGAAAAGCACAATAGACATGCTTACGGCTCTTTCTTAATGGTTCTATTTGGCTGCTGAAGCATAATTTAAGAGAGGTCAAATACACAATTTGTGCATATTTTCAGAATTCAAAAAGTGAGAGTCATGGACACATAACCCTTAACTCTTTTGGGCATTCATAACTTCAGCTCCAACATTTCCATGGCAACTACATATCGAACATCTCGGCAAAGGTTAGGCCATCAAAGCTAATGACTTAGCTTTATGATGTATAAAACCTTTGCAAAGACATATATGAAATGTTTTTTGAAGCTTTTCAAGACTAAATTGTATAAATGTATATTTAAACACAACAAAAACATCTCACATTACAGATTAGATGACAAACTGTACATGTTCTAAAGCTTGGTTCACACTACCAATTTTGTAGTTGATTTTCTATTCTTGATGGATGCAAATGTGTGAACTTGCACACAAAACTATAGAATATTTTATTGCTATTCAGAAATATATATTTCTTAGTCTAAGTAGGGCACATTGTGGCTCAATGGGTTAACCTAGAGACATGGTCAGATTTTTTGGTGAACCATTGAGCTGCAGAGCTTCCCCATTGATGAGTAAAATTGTCTGGTGTTAGATAGTCTGGCATAATGGAAGTGAACAGTTTTGTTCATGATGTATGATTCCAATAAAAACTTGCTTTCTGTTAAGATAGTAAATTATTACAAATGTTAACAGGTGACAGATATATTCATCAGTGGTATGTCTGTTACATCTGTACATCCAAAATGGTCATAAAATTTATATTTATTCAACCTTCACCATATATAATAATATTAATATTACTAGGGGTGGATCCAGCATGATCTGGTGGTGGGGTGCTCTGCCAGCTCTGGTGCCGAGTTGTGTCGGTGATGTGTGCTGCCCACCCATCAACTTGCTTCGCTACTGCAAAGTCTTGCTTGACTACTGTATTTGAATTGTAATTGTTCACAGTTCGCTTATCATCATGTTATTACTCAAATTACTGTATCTCATTTTGTCTCTAATAATTTTTTGTTTTATCATGAAATATAGCAGAACCCCCTGCACCCCCTCTGGCCAGGGCTAGGGGGTGCACCCCGTCTGGCCAGGGCTAGGGGGTGCACCCCCCCCAGTAAATCGACCCTGAATATTAATAACAACATGGATACAATACATACATTACATTATAAATATATAATACTACTGTATACTAATGACAATTGCTGTGAAAGCACCACAACAGTTAAAACCAATTACTGTGGGCCTTTTAACAACAAACGTCTAGAAACAGCAGTTAATAACATAGTTCAAACGTCGACAACCTTTATAGTTTAAACACAGATTTCCATGTTCTTGCATCCTCTGCATCAATGCAGGGCTTTCGAGTAATAGTCTCCTAACAATCTCTTAAATGTATTTGTACTTTTGTAAGAATGTGTTAGGTTCTCTTAAGTCTGATGGAAGACAGTTTGTTACACATGAGAAATACAAGCTCTGGAAAGTGCTAGACAAAGTCCTGCTTTCTGTGGGTGAAAGGATAAAATATTGGTACCAGATGATCTGGTCATTCTTGTGGGAATTATGGGTTTGGGGACAACATCTTCAGATATGTCCACCATACCATTAACTGAAATGTCTTTGGGCTATCCTTCAACCAACTTGGCTACCAAGATGTATAGATCTCATATTAAATCTGTA